GGCATAACTTTACAGATTTTGTATCACATGCTTTGGGAACGACTAAATTCAAGAAATATTTGGGACAAGATGTTACAATTGAGCAATGTGTACTTTTCAATTGTAATAACCAATGCAAAAAAAATAAAATTTGGAGCCGTGTGCACTTTTCCCGATGGTGATAATTCGTCGGCTATAGTTAACCATTTAAGCATAAAAGTTCATACTTTATCCCATAATTGAAAGAAGAACACTAAAATTTAAGCATTGGCGGAGAATTTGAATGTTTAAACATTACGAGGCCATAAATCAAAGACGTACACTCAAAATTTCATTTTCAACTAGAAATCCAAAGACCTTTGCCTATTAGGGACAGGCTCAAAGTCAAAACCTAAATGTATGGTGTCTGCTAAGCAATTGTTATTACGTAACACTTTCTTTATCACCTTGAGGCAATTCATTACATTTTTTTTTCTATCTCTTTTGGTTCAGGAATTAATTAGTCACGTTCACTATCCGTATGATAATAGTATCATTTCCATTTCCAAAATCAAGAAAAGTGAGCTACTAGAGAGCTATAACACAAGCGGACATAAATACAAGTCTAGCGTTAGGTATAGAGATTTTTTTAACCAATGTTCACATTCATGAAGTATGAGTGTTCACATATTTAAAAAAGTCACGCAATCCCATTTGTCGTGAGAAATTTTAATTTAATAATTCGTATCTTCTTCGGTTTAACAATTTATGAGCGTACGATCTTAGAAAAGACCCGCATGGTTCCAAACATTAAGGAAAAAGGAATCAAAGAATAATTGGAGGAGAGTGCCTCGAGAAATGGACAAGGAGAGAGTGGGTGGATGAATAGCTAGGGATAGGAACATTGAAAATTAATAAACATTAGTTTAATTGACTTGAGAATTGACTTATCGATCAATTCATCAGTATGCTAGATGTTGATCATCCGAGGAGTCAAAATAACGAATTGCAAATAAAGAAGAAAAATGAAAAAAAAAAGATGGGGAAAAAACCCCTGTGCAAATGCCCACCTCACCCAAACTCCAAGGCCAGCACTTCTTTTCTTTTGATCTACAAAGTAATAAGTAAATATCGTCATTTGCGGACTTCATAAAATGATGTTATCCCCCTTTCACCACCCCAAATAAAAAAATGAGGATGAAATAATTTGAGCGAACGTTAGCAATTGCACCAAAGTGTGTCTTAATTATGTAGCTACCGCTCGTACTGAATATTCCATGGCAGGTTTGGGTTCCTAACGACTGGAGGGGTAGATGTACTGGTCGCCTTCCCCACTCTTTTACTTGTAAAAAAAAAGGCTTAGCAAGAGGTAGAAAACCTTTATAAGCATCGAGTTATAGCTAAAACCAAATTAAATGAGTGATGCAGAGTTTACTAAGAATTTTTTACTACATGATGTGGCAACTCTTGTGGCGTATGCCATGTCATCAATTATGCGTGCAGTAAGAAATTATTTGATACATAGAAAAATGAAGGAAAGAATATACAAACTGGTCAAGATTAAAAAAAGGTCTTTTTTCTTGTCCATTTTCCAATTCTTATCAAGTTTAAGGAACCAAAAAAATTCCAAGATTAATTTGTTTTTCTTATTCTATATTTGCCGATGTGCGTGAAATGTTGTGCTTGAGCTACCGATAAGTCATTAAGGTTTTTTTTTTTCTCTTTTGATCCAAAAGTTAATTAGTCATATTTGCTGTTCATATGATGGTGATACGATTTCCAATTTCCAAAATCAAGAAAAGTAGCTACTAGAGAGCTAAAAGACGAACATTAGTACAATTCCAAGATTAGGCATAGAGAATCTTCTAACCTCTGTCCACGTCCGTGACAAATGAATATTCCTATAATTATGAATCCTGCACAATACCCTTTGTCGGGAGACATTTTAATCTAATAATATGCATCTTCCTCAGATGCTAAGTTATGATCTAGAAACTCATGAGCACCCCATCTAAGAGAAGAATCAAATGTTTAAGGGTGAATTTATTTCGAGAAAAATGAATTATTTGAAAAATAATTTTCCTAAAAATAACCACTTGAATTTCTTATAAATTGAATGGACGAAATTTATTTTAATCGTCCACGAAAATATTTATGTATAAATTATTGTTGATTATGAAAATATTTTCACTAAGTAATCATTTTAAACGATACAAGTAGTTATTTTTAAGAAAATATTTTTCAAAATATTTATTTTTCGCGAAACAAATAAGGTGTAAAACATTAGACAACTCGGAATAAAAGAACAACCGGAGGACAGTGCCCCAAGAAATGGACAAGGAAAGAGTAGGTGAATGAACAGCTGTCGTTAGGGACATGGATAATTAATTACATTGATTAATTGATTTCAGAATTGACTTATTAATCCATTACATCAGCACGCTAGCTGTTGATCATCCGGGAAGTGAAATAACTAATTGAAAAGAAAAGGAGAAAAAGAAGGGAAAAAAACATAAAGTACCCTTTTTATTTTTAACCTCAATACAATTTTCCCTTTTTCTGTTTTTTCTTTCCTCAAAATACCACTTAGTATTCCGAAAATATAGGATCTCGTGGACCAGAAGACCAAATTATCCTCCTCCTGAAAAACGCCAAGCACACCGTAATTCTCGAAAAACACCAAATTCTATCCAAAATCAAACTCTGGGATCGAAAGATATAACATTGAAGCAATGGAGTGCATCTGTTTGGAGTCTTCTTCAAGACCACCGCAGTTCACACTTGACCTGTCGCAAATGAAGCGGACAATAATTGGGTTACGTCGAACCTCGGATGCAAAATAAATATCTTTCGATCCCAGAATTAATTCGTCAACTTCACAGTCCATATGATAGTTGATAGTGGTTTCTTTTCCATCTTTCAAAAATTAAGAAAAGTTAGTTACTAGAGAGCTAAAAGATAAACAAACATAAATATAACTTCAATGTTAGTGAAATTTTTCCCACGTCTAGGGCTAGTTGTCCAAAAAGTCGTAATCCTATTATACAATAATCAATTCAGTTGTAAACTTTTTAATGTTGTCAATTTAGTTCTAAACATTTTGATGATTTGTCAATTCAGTTATAAACCTTTTAACGATTTACCAATATAGTTCTTTTAGTCATTTTTTGTTAGAAATCACTGACATTGACAACTTTTGCATTTTTTTAAAATCTCTGAATTTTTTCTTAGTTTTTCTTTTCTTTTTTTCCTTCATTGGATTTTCGATAGCTAAGGTCGCCAGGGAGAAGATCCAGGCAAGGGGCCATGACCCCCTTGCTGTTGCGGCCCTTGCTTGTGGCCGGCGAGGGTCGTCGAGCAAGGAAGGAAAAAAATGAAAAATTCAGAAAATTCTTTAAAAATTGCAAAAGTCGTTAATATTAGCAATTTCAGTTCAACATTGACCGGAAGAAGTAAATTGGTAAATCCTCAAAATGTTTAGCACTAAATTGACTAAATTTAAAAGTTTATGACTAAATTGACAGCCATACAATAAGTAAAAGACTTTTTGTTACAATTTTCCCTCAAAGGTCTTTTGTTTTTTTGGTAACCGAGGTGTCCGGACCAGTTTGCGCGCACCTCGACTATTCCTCGGGGAAGAGTAGCACAGCAACCCATCGCCATGGCCCCCCACTTAAATCACAAGTGCTCAGCTGGGGAATCGAACCTGGGACCAGTGCGCCTAACCACACAATCCCAAGTACTCCCTAATCAATTGAGCTACCCATGGGTGGTTCCCTCAAAGGTCTTTGATAAATAAATGATCACATATTTATAAAAGTCTTGTTAACAAGTACCTTTAAGACATTTGTTAATAAAATATTTCAATTTTTAATATATTGATACATGGTAGGAAACATCCTACACAATCGCATTTGCCCAGAGACGTTCTAATTTAATAATTCACATCTTCCTCGTGATGCTAAGTTAAGTTATGGCAGCTCACGAGCACCCGATCTAAAAGAAGAGTCACGTGCTTAAAACGTTAGAGAAAAAGGAATAAAAACAATAATTGGAGCAGAGTTCCCGGAGAAAAGGACGATGAAATATTCGGCGAGTAGCTGGCGATAGGGACGTGGCAAATTAATTACATTACTTAGTTGAATGAAGAGTTGACTTACCAATCCATTCATCAGCACGCTAGTTATTGATCACCCAAGGAGTAAGATAACTAATTGAAAAGAGAAAAGAAAAAAAAAGGAAAAAAAAAGGCGGAAAAAACATTTATGTACGTTAAACTGAATCAAGAAATATTTCTGTTTATGCATGGCAGTTTTAACTTATACCCGTGCGAGGTGCGTAGCACGGGCTTATCCTCTTGTTGTAAAATATTTAAAGGAGTTGACTCATTTAAAACCGTGTGACATTTACAAGCTTAAACATTTCTTTATTGCCTCTTTTCCATTTCGTGCGTGTATCGTTTATGATCTACATGTGCTTATCAAGATTATTTTTATTCGAATTTTTCCCGAATTGAATTTTATCAAGAACATTGCTTCAAAATAAGCGCTGTCATGTATATTCATAAAGCATATAATAGTTAATTTAAAGTCGGTCGACTAGTAGATGGACAAATGCGATGCTCTACCTCCTACCAACGGTCGGAAGAAAAACAATACTTTAAAAAGAGGAGACAAAATTAAGTTAGTTGAGAGTTGAGACTAACCAATGAATTTGTCCAGAGTGGTTCACGTGAATTTCGTTACGTCTAAAAGATATTGGAAATCTGTAAATTTCGTTATTGAGGACAATGAGTATCGATTTAAAAAATGTAAATAATGTAGTTTCCGCCTTTTATTATTATTTCTAGTTCTTTTGCTTAGTGGATTAAATTTTCTCAATTCGTTGATCACTAGCTTAGGGTGAAATTTACTTTTTATGATTGGGTCGACATCATTCAAGATGAGTCGATGACATTCCCTGAATTGATATGAAAAGACTATAAAATAGAATCATTTTATCAACGATGGAATGAACAGAATTAATCATAGTTCAAATTTTTATTGAAATTTATGTTCTTTATATAGTATGGGTCTCATTATTTTTGGACACGTGATTGACATGGTTTATTAATTATTACAATATGTCTACACAACAACTTCTTGGGCTGATCCCCAATTGACCGTTGGGTCCAAAATCAATGACATTGTCTGAGGTGAGTCGCATCTGGTGGAGGGTTGGAAACTCGACCTTTATAAGCGTGAGCGGTCTCTCTCCTTTTGCATTCTTACTCCATCAGAGGGGAAGAGATCCAAGAAAGAAAGACTCCCGCTGTCCGAAATGGCTCACGCTATAAGCATCAATGATAGTGAAACGAGCGGGACGCCAAACGAAAGGCTTGAAGCTTTGAAGGCGAGATATGTCTCGACTCCAGGAAACCAACAACAGGTCGTCGATGATGATCTGAACAAAATTATGGATCATGCCCTTTATAAAGCCACGACAGATGGGGATGCCGACAAATTCATCGGTGCATTAGAAGCTGTTTCTGAGTCGATGAAACTAGCTTTGTCGCTAATCTTTGATCAAGTCACCCCCTCCGGGAATTCATTGCTTCATGTAGCAGCGAGCTCTGGGAACGATGATGTCGTGGAGCTCATTCTCACTCATTTTCCTTACCTCGTGACCCGGAAAAACTCCTCGGATGATACTCCGCTCCATGTCGCCGTTCAAGATGAAAGGCTCAACGCGACAACAAAGCTGATTAGCCGGAGAAGAGACTCGACATTAAATACTGGAAGAACAAGGATAGTAAATCTCCGTTGTATCTGGCAGTCGAAAACTGCAAGTCGTCGGATGCGAAAGATCGCAGGGGGGCGCGCTGGGAGATTCTTCAGCTTCTCTTGAAAGAATCTGCCCGAGATGAAGATTACGCAGTCAAGATACAGGGCATGTCCCCAATTTTGGCCACACTCGAGGACTGGTTTTCAGGTAACGGATATTTGTATGTGCAGTTCTAGTCCATGAATGCATAGATGTAAGTAAATTGCACTGCTTTTTGCTCTTTTTAAAAAAATTCATAATCATCCAAATTGGAGAAAAGCTTGATTAATAGCTTTCGGTCAAAAGGCAAATAACTCTGCAGGAGCTAACAGCAACAATTATCTAACGAGTTAATTGCACCCCAACCTAAAAAGTGCTATGGCCTATAATATCAGATGATATATTGAGAGAAATTGTTGATCGGCTTCCGAAGTTACTTCACATGCGCGATGAAAACGGGGGGACACCGCTGCACTCTGCAGCATCGTTTGGAGATTTTGTGGCAGTGGACCTCCTGCTGGAGAAATGCCCTAATCTCGCCCTTCAAACGGATAAAAACGGCTCCTACCCGATTCACATCGCTTGCGAACACAGCTTCTTCATTGTCGACAAGTTACTAGATTGCACGTGGCCCGACCTGGTAGAGATAAAAAACAATAAGGGTCAGAATATTCTTCACGTTGCAGCCAAGGCCGGGAACACCGGCGCGGTCTTCGACATAAGCGACCATTGCAAGGAGGCCGTCATCAAGAAGCTGGCGAATTCGAAAGATGTCGATGGAAACACGCCCCTCCATTTGGCATCGATGCACAACCATTGCCCAATTATGCTCTATTTGACGAGGGATGAAAGAACTGACTTGAGGCTTCTGAACAACGACAAGTTGACCGCACTGGATGCGGCCATGCAATCTGGAAGCTTGTCGACGAAATATTCAGCGGTAGTGTAATTTTGATTGCAGGTTTAGCTTACTGTTAACTGAATCTAGTGTGCTCATGATTGATGACTAATTCTCCGATTTGACATTTGCAGTTACTAGGGCGTGCAATTTTGATTACCGCGGGTGTACCGCAAAGCAAAGGCCGAGATGTTCGGTCATCAGGAGAACAGGCCCAATGGATGAAGGACCAGGTCCACACTCGATTGCTAGTGGCCACCCTTGTGGCCACCGTCACATTCGCCGCCGGCTTCACCTTGCCCGGTGGATATAATCAATCTAGTGATCCCCGCCCAGGAACGGCGACCATGCTGCACAACAGAGTGTTTCAGGTTTTCGTAATTTCCAACATGTTAGCCATGTACAGCTCCATTCTTGCGGTCGTAGTCCTCCTCTGGGGTCATATCAGTGATTTCTACATAGCAGAACAAGCTTACCTCACAGCAGGGCCATTATTGTTGATGTCTCTCACCGGCATGTCAGTGGCATTTTTGGCAGGCGTAATTGTAGCAGTGAGCAAACTTGCTTGGCTCGCTTTCCTTGTTCTGTCCACCGCAGTCTTTTTCCTCGTGATGCTCATAATGGTTTTAACAGCCTTGATATTCCCATTCTCCAAGACTGCTATGCATGTTGTGTCCCTTTACTATATGCTTGTAGCCATACCGGGATATGTGGTACGGCGTTTAAGATACAAGAAGCGGGCGGCTTGGATGTATCTCATAATTTAAATTACGGATAATTATTGGATTTTTTTCTTTTTCTTTTCTGTTGAGCAATACCTTGTATATACTTTTGCAGTGTACAGTGGGTAATACAAGTTAACTACGAATTCTCTCACTAACAAGTCCGAATCCTAGTCGAGGCATCCTAGATAGGGGCCAAAGAAGAAGCATAGCTAGGAACTACCCGCAATGAAGAAGTCCAAAAGCCATTGCCGATATCAATGTCCGTTTATCTATTTGTAGATCCTATACTTGCGGAGGGCGGAGGTCAAGACAATTTCAGTTGATTCACCTGCATAAATTGCATCAGGTCCATCTTAATTTTGTGGGAGTGGGCAAAAAAAACGTGGCTGTTTTCAGTTGAAAAGTATCCAGCACTTGCTGGTCAGGGCGTTTTTTCTTGCCATACTTGTGTCAACATCTGACCAAAAAACAGATACTTGTGTCAACAAGCAAGTGTTTCAGAGTGATTTTTTCTTTCGAATATTTTAGCATCAATTACAACCGTTTAAGTGCATAATAACGAGGGTGTGGGAATGATTATTGACCACTTGATCAATCTTTGCTCTAGTGGACTAGTACTTGCGACTTTCTTTTTTACTGCAAATCCATCTTGCCATTCGATGCATATGGGACATTATTCTGCTCCGTCGTATATTTCGATTATGACAGTCCTTCTCAAAACTTCATAGGACTCTATATTCATCATCATATTACTGCGGATCTTCTATTGTGTCCGATTAATTCTTTTCAATAGACACTCTTCACAACCTTCTATCGACTCCTTTTGATAAAAAAGAGAGTTCCCACTTGTTTTCTTTTGTTCTTTTTTTTTTTTTCCATTTCCTATCTATATATCTCTTAATACATTAATGCGGAATACCAAGAGAGAAACCCATTAGTGTCCACCGGAGAACGCCACGTGTCAATCGAGCAGTCAACTCTCGTGCCTCCATTTATTTGTTTTTCATTTTTTTTATAGTGTTCTCCCCTTTCATTTCTCAAACAAACATAAGATTTTACGTAGGTTAGTTTTTCCTTTTTTATCCTATTTATTTTATTATTTTTAAATCTAGATAAAAGACAAATTTTTATTTTCAACTTAGTTTTTTAAGCAGATAAGTGCACATTTAATTTTTATTTTATTTTCGTGCCAGTCTATTAATGTACCAATTATTAGTTTATATTCTTTTTCCTTTTGCTTTTATTTATGACGTTAACGATTTTTCTTAATTTTGGTGTATGTAATTTTGCAATGTATAATTTTATGGATTTAGGTTTTGGGCTTGTTGAATAGGAATAATCTTTTCAATTTGAGGAATTAAGGGCCTTGCATTAACTTTTTATTGCTATTTGGGATAATTAGTGATTGAATAAAAGGATCGAATTCAGATTTCGAGTTCAAGCATTACACTGATCTTTTCAAACTTCAAAGCGGTAATTATTGTTTAATTTCTTCGAATTGTAAGAATTGCTATATATTCCATTTTACAAATTTCATAGTTATCGGTCTTTTTCATCGTTAGGATAATTCTCCCCAAAGTTGTATTTAATGAAATTTAAATTACAACTTTATGAATTGAATTCCTCACAGTATATGAATGGCCAATTCAAATTTTCGACTGTTACTTTGCACCCACTGGAATCGATATTTTTCTTAATATCAAATTGGATGCGTACAACAATGCTATCCTAACACGATGATACAGTCAGCAAACTGTAAAATCCAGCATCAATAGTCAACAAATTTTCATAGTATATGAAATGAAAATTATCTTAGCCATAATATCTGTCAAAATTAATTATTCTCTTTAGATGGTGAATGTATAAGTTGATTATACACTAAACTTGTAGTTCATTTTTATTCGATTTTGAAGATAGCATTAAATATATTCTATTTCCTGCTTGGCTATTTCAATTTGATGTGAAAAGTTTTAATTGGTGGGTTAAACTTACTCCCCAAGGGCATCACATGTCAACGGTCAAGTTAAAGAACTTAGGAGAATATCATTAAAAATCCGATTTTGGTACTTCATGACATATTTATCCAAAACAAAAACTCCATTTATTTCGCGAAAAATGAATGATTTGAAAAATATTTTCTTATGATCGCATGTATCATTTAAATAATTAGTAAATCTCTGTCCTTTTAGGAAATTAGAGGAATAGAAAATATTTTCATCATTAACAATAATTTGTGTCTAAGTATATTCGTGAACAATGAAAATATTTTTGATTTATTCATTTTTATAAGTGATAGAAGTGATCATTTTTAGGAAAATATTTTTCAAATCATTTATTTCCATGAAACAAAATGAGCCTAATTTTCGTCGCACAAAAAACTTTAAAATGGTACCCTTGACTCAAGTATACTCTCCATTAGCATTCTATCCAATAATTTGTCAAAATACAGTGTCAACACACGTGGTAAACGATTGCAAGACAAATTTGAAATGGAAAATAATAGATTCAACATAGAAAATCCACGTGTTATTAACACGTATGCATTTAATAGGATATAGTGATGGAATGTTAACGGAGAATAAATTTGAATTAGTGGTACCGATTCAGGAATTCTAGTAAAACAAAAATTAGCTTAGATAAATGTATCATGGATACTAGTTTGAAATTTTTAATCGTATTAACCCAAGAACTTAATAGAAAATCCATCTGATCCTTTGCTTTTACTTTCTTGTCTGTCCTTAGTGTCTTTAATAGTGATTAGCACATTCCTAAGTGTACCATCGATGTTGACATGCAAACACTACTTAATCACACTACTATATTCTTGCTCTTTACCTCAATTAAATGCATTGCTAGAATCTCTTTCTATTTAACAAGTAAATGTCGCGACCTTCTCAAGCGGTCCTTAGGCTTGTTAGGGAGCGGGGTTCTCTAGTAATGTTGAGCGGGGATCAACGGTCCTCATTCGACGCAAGTTTTCCCAAACCCTTATCTCAAGTGACGTTAGGAGTTCATTTGATTGATCTATCTATGAAAATTCTATTTTAATATGGAGTCATCACTAGCCTACTTAGCTCGACTAGGAGTTAAGTGAGATATCCTCTCATGTCTCACTTCCTACGCAACTAAAGATCTTAATATGGGGATTTGGTTACACTAGTTTATCTAATTAGTGCCATTTCAATATCATAACTTAATTTATTATCAACTAAGTCTCACATTGGGTCTTTTGTCAAATTATGAGTCCTAAAGTTTTTTTTCCACTAAATGTCCATGCAAGGTTTTTATTAATTTTGATCTTAGAGTATATACTCAACGAATAGACAAAACATGAAAGCAATATAAAAAGATCAACACAACACATTGAAAAGGTAATAAAAGACAAAAAGTAAAGTTGATACAAGTCGGGAAAGAATATACATGGCCTCGTTATTAAGTCTTGGGACAGAACACTTTGAGCTAAGTCGCAATCCAATCATGCAGGTATCTCTATCTAAGCATTGCACTTGTCCAATTCACTATCATGTTTAATCACTATCACAATGTGACCCGATTTGTTCACTATTCTATTGCCTAATCACTGAATGCATCCTTAACATTCACTAAATTTTACATTCCTAAGATTACAAATCTTATGGAATATCTATTTTTTTGTCTTTTCATTTTATCGTTCTTATTTATTTATTACGTGATGATGCCTTTAACCAAGAGTTTCTCAAATCTCCATATCCTTCCACAACTTCATATTGGGGACAGTAATTGCCAAATTGAGGACATAAGTACCAGCAGTCCAGAAGAGAACGAATGCAAGTAGCTAGCCATTTAACACGAATCAAAACCTTGATTTGCAGAACACTTCTTTTTTAATAAAAGAAAAAGGCATACTTTGAGGAAAGAAGCTGCTCGATCCAATGTCCTTCTTCAAGTTGATATTATGACGTCTATGTCTTCAAGATAATGACGAACCCACATGTTAGCAATGTGTACAAAAAATTGGAGAGGGACACCACAGCACAGTTGTGCAAATTGTACTATGCAACAAGATAACATTAAGACCTGTATGAAACCAAAAAAACAAAAAAGTTCAGCACCAAAAAAGCCTAAGAAAATCGCTTATGAAAGATCAATCTACGAGACCCTGTACAGCTGCAAATGGAAATAAGGGGAGAAGTTCATGATTAGACTATTTATCCCCACAACCAACTTAACAACATGCAAGCAGCGAGCAGCAGCATAACGTTCTAAAGATGAGACACCATGTAACCGAGAGAAGAACAAAGTATTCCAAACGAGAATCTCCCTGCACATGTTGTCCAAGCCTATTCCTAAATTTCTCCTTGAGAGTAACAAAAGCTAATGGATGTTTGAATCAGCAAAAGATAGAATAAGAAGATGGTGTCCAAAAGTAAATTCTTTTCATACCCAGCTAACTTTGCACACTTAGTTTTGATTGCAAACCATTTAACTCCCTCAACAGCCTGTATGGAGTGGAATATGACCCGTAAGATATATAAAGCTAGAAAGGTGAAAATACGAATAAAAATATGATAGCACACACAAGGCAGAAGCGTGACCGGTGGTGCTGTAGCGTGGTACTGGAGGCAGCCGCTAGCGAGATTCAGTGACCATCGACGAGGACAGAGGACAACGAGTAGTTCTTAACATGTTGAATGAGTTTGCATATCATCAGCATGAAGAGCAACACAGTCACCAAACTTCTCTGAGAGCTTCCATTCTGGAGAGACTCGCTCTTGCTCAGTCACTGGTCCAAAGCTTGTCGTCACCACCGCGGAGTCGCAGATTATCTCCAGCTTGAACAGGGACTCCTCGAAACAGAGTTCAGCTTCGTCATGCCATCAAAAACCTTCCTTGCAAACTTGATCCCCCTCCGCAGCGCAGCCAATGGCAATGGAATTTGGAAGACGGCGACAGAACGGAAGAAATCAAAACGAAAAGAGATAAAAAGGCAAATTAGGAAGGAATCGAAGTCATATTTAGATTTAATCCAATACGAAACGACCATGTAGGTGTGGTTCTTGGTTGATGGATTCCAATAATCATCAATCCGTTTGTTGCTGTTCCTGACCGCCATTGATGAGTTCTTGAGGCCCCGCAATTTCTTGGTCTGTTCTTCCAGCTTCAATCCTGAGAGCTCATGGTCACTCGCTCCACCATCTTGTTATTCAATATGGGCCTAGTTTCATTTTTCATGGGCTGAGGTGATTGCTTGCGAATTGGATTAAACTGAACCGGAGTAGTGGGCCTGACCCGATTTTAGTGGGCTCCCCTTTTGGTCCAATGGGCTGAAGCCTTTTCATTTTTTTAATTTTTAATTATTTTTTTATTACAAAAATGTATATTTAACTTATTGGCAAGAATTCAAGTGTCAACCGTAATAATCAAGGAAAAAGTTTCACACATTCTCTACCACCGTCGGTCGCAATGCCCGTGCTCAGGTATCCTCTGCCCATTGAGACGATTAGTTGAGCCCATCGAGTGCTCTCGCATTGTCCAAAAGAAACCAACTCATATTCTTGTTTCGATCCCGCCATTTGAAAAGCTCCTCTGGTGGTGGTAAGCTCAAAATGTTCTTTGTTCTTTTTTTACCGCATTCTCTACTGATGTTGGTTTGTTTTGTTTCTTATGAATTTCTTTTCTGTTGGATGCCGAAGAAGAGTGGGATGCGACAGTTGTCGACTTTGCAAGGAGTTTTATTAGATTCTTGAAATTGTGATGGGACGTGAATAATTTTGGTGGAATTTCAGGTGCACAAGGTTGAATTTCTGGTAATGCAACTGTCGTCACAGAGGAATACAGCGCAATCTCTAAGCAGAAAAATTAGATAATGCTTTCAAAGAATAAAAGCAATGAAATTAAACATCCACAAAAAAAATTCAGAGTGACAGAAAAACCAAATCCTTCGTTATTTGTTATGAAGTGTAACTGCTAAAGTGGCACAAATGGAAATCAATACTTACATATCAAATAAATCCAGTTACTATCCAAGAAGCAATTAGAATATTGCGAATCGCATGTCAATAACGTCTATTGATAGGAAAGGTCTTTGACACATCATGGACAATGTAGCTAAAATGTATGATTGTGTCCAAGCCACCGGCAAGCTAAGAAGCTATCTCATTCTTGAAGCATCCAATGGCCAACCTTTTGCACTATACTCTTATTGTTATGGTCATTAGTAGGTTCAGGCCATAGTTCCCACTAGGTATTGTTGGATTAAAATGTAACAGATTTATATCTTTCCCCAAATCTATATGGAAGGATGTGATTCTCTATTCTTTGATCCAATAGTGAAGGTCTATAGAGAGATTGTGCCTGGGAAAGATTATAGACCCACCCTTATAATTTCGTAGAGGTGAACGGTCCATGTGATAATACATGAGAGAGGGCAAAAATAAGCAAAACGGATATACAAGAAAATTTTATTTTCATATAATCATTATTCTCATACTTTATGTGATTCCAGCTACCTTCTTGACGTGTGATTGATAGATGTTATTGATCTCAAACAATCAATTAATATTACGTGTGAAAGATCCAATGTTTTCTCCAATACCACCATCAAGACACACTAATCACGAGGAACAAGAAGCAACTGTTCAAAGTTAAAAAGAAAAACCACTAACTTGAAAAAAAAAATCACAAAAGATCAAATTGCATTTGCACCAAACCCCACAATATGACTAGAAAAGTGTAATATAAAGCCCCAATTTTCCATCTTTTTTCCTTTTCCTTTTGTTTTTACTTTTGCTTTTTTCCAAAAGGTGACCACAAATGTCCACGCTTGTTCCACTCCTACTTTGTCTAAAACACTCTCCAACAAAAATTTTGTGATAATTTTATCTATTGTGGGTCTCACCTATCAGCTTCCTATCTGGACTGACCGGTTCGATCCGATTCCTGGGCAGTCCAATGGAACCTGTGGATTAAGTAGCTACATTTTTAGCGAAACACATGGTGGATATCACAAAGAAGTTAAATCCGATATGTGTCCATGACACTTCAAGAGGAGACGCCCGTTTTCGTTTTGAGCAAAAAGAGGAAGAACTCAGACATAACTTAGACTAAAATGCTGATAAAAATACAAAAAAGCTTATTCAGTCCAGAAAGTCTAAAGACGTCATGATCACTTTTCTTCTACAAGTGGCACCAAACAAACAGTCCGTTACATGTTGAGCGCACTGTCCCTTTTGTATCCAATGAAAAAAACAGCACGAGAATGCTGTCCTGCAGCCAGATGTTAGGGATCTTTCATTCCTCAAGCTTCTTCCACGCACGACTCAAACAAGAACACTTTCTACATACCAACTAATATTACCCAGCACATTCCACTTAAGACTTGCAAAAACCCAAGTGTCCTCCATGAGAGGCCAAGTTCCTCCAACATATTGTCTCAAACTATACAACTACAGGGAAACTCGCAGCTTATAAAGCATATGATTTTATAGTTTAGAAACACTAGAAAGGCAACTCATTAGAACTACTTTTGAGGTCAATTCACCCATCGGTGCGGTTGGTCTGATTCCCGAGAACCGGACCGAAAATCATCAGTTCCAATTTTATAGAATCGGGAACCCGACAGGCGCCCTCAGTAACCACCCAGAACCGGTTGGTTCGGGTAGTACGTGTTGCTCATCCCTACTTTTTACTTCATTAAGAAAGAAACAAAAATCAAATCATTATCACAAATAAATTAACTTTCGATGACCCCGCTCTCATATCCTTTTTTTTATACTTTTTAGAAAAACACGATATTTATCATGACAAGAATCTCTTTTTGAATGGCAAAATCACTGTCATATTTATACTAAAGCAACCAAGATTTTTTTTGTCGGCCAATATAATGGGCTTTGGCATATTTTCAATCTAAAAACGTGGCAAAACTCACTTTCATTAAAGCAACTCTCCTGTGATTCATTTATGATGGTGTTTTATTATTATTCCCAATTCTTTTGTTTAGTGGATTGATTTTCATCAATTAGTGAAGCTCCTTTTTGTGATGGGGCCAACATTATTCAAAGTGAATCAATGATATTCCCTGAATTGATCAAAAGAGTACATGATAGATTTGTTTTATTAACGATGGAAAGGACAGAATTAATCATTGCGTAGAAAATTAGAAATTATATTGAAACTTGCGTTCTTCTTTAACAAATTTGTTTTATTGATTTGATTTGCCATGAAAGTTTATGTGCTTCTTATGTATCATTTTGAGTAATGAATATAATTTTCTTTCGATAAAAAAAAAGTCTCACTGTTTTTGGATAGGGTGAAGACATGGTTTGTTGGACAAAGACTTCACAACTTCTTGGGGTGATCACTAATTGACTGTTGGGTCGAAAGTCAATGACATTGACCGAGGTGAGTCTCATCGGGTGCTGGGTTCATGTGAAAACTTGACCTTTATAAGGGCGAGTGCTCTCTTCCTTTTTGCATTCTTACAACATAAGGGGGGAAGAGATCCCCCCCAAAAAAAAAGCTCCTGCAGTCCGAAATGGATCACCGAAGTGAAATATGGGCAACCCGAAACGAAAGGCTTGAAGCTTTAAAGGCAAGATATGTCCCGACTCCAGAAAACCAACAACAGCTCGGAGATGATGATTTGAACAAAATTATGGATCGTTACCTATATGAAGCCACGAAAGAAGGGAACGTCGAGGAATTCATCGGTGCATTAGAAAATGTGTCTAAGTCAAGGAAGCTAGCTTTGTCGCTAATCTTCGACCAAGTCGCCTCCTCCGGAAATTCATTGCTTCATGTTGCGGCAAGCTCAGGGAAAGATGATCTCATTGAGCTCATTCTCGATCATTTCCCTTACCTCGTGACCCGGAAAAACTTCTCAGAGGACACTACACTCCATGTTGCCGTTCGAAATGGAAGCTTAAAGGCGACAGAAATGCTGATTCGCCGGGGAACAAACTCGGAAATCAAATACTGGAAAAACAAGGATCGTAAATCTCCGTTGTATCTGGCAGTCGAAATTTGCAAGATTTGTGATTCAAATCCCGAGGGGGTGGGCTGGAAGATTCCTGAGCTTCTCGTGCGAGAATTTGCTCGAGATGAAGCTTACGCAGTAAAGATAGAGGGCATGTCACCAGTTTTGGCTACATTTGATGTGACATTAGGTAATAGATACTTTTTATGCGTCGTTCTAGTCCATGAATGGATAGATGTTAGTGACTTGCACTGATTTTTTTTGCTCTTTTTCAAAATTCATATTCGTCCAATCTAGAGAGGAAGCTTGATAATAGCTTTTGGTCAAAATAGCAAATAACACTGCAGGAACTAACAGCAACAGTTATTTAAACGAGTATGACCTATAATATCAGGTTTATTGAGAATATTTATAGACCGGCTGCCGAAGTTACTTCACGTGCGCGGTGAAGACGGGGGGGGGGGGACACCACTGCACGCAGCAGCATCGGTTGGGTATTTTCGGCAAGCGGAGGTCCTGCTGAGGAAATGCCCTTATCTCGCCCTTCAAACGGACAAGAACGGCTCCTACCTGATTCACATCGCTTGCGAAGGCAGCAGCTTCTCGACTTTCGAGAACACGTTAGCCATGTATTGCTCCATCCTTGCGGTCGTAGTCCTCCTCTGGGGTCTCAGTAGAGACTTCTATGTTGCAGAGCTAGCTTACCACTCAGCAGGGCCATTACTGCTAATGCCTCTCACCGGCATGTCAGTGGCGTTCTTCGCGGCCATAACTGTAGCAGTGAGCAAACTTACTTGCCTCGGAAGCCTTGTTCTGTCGGTCGGAGTCCTTTACCTCGCGATGGTCATCGGGGTTTTAGCGGCCTTGATATTCCCATCCTCCAAGTCTGCTATGCGCATTGTGGTCTTCTACTATCTGGCTGTGACCCTATCGGCACCTGCAGTCCGGGGATTTGTCAGATTTTGTGTTACGAATTTTCCCTTCTTTATGGAAAAAATTTGCAACCGTCCATTTATTCATTTTTAACTGGGAATCGTCCATTGCTGTCCGGATTTTAGTCCAATCAATAGTCAAAGTCTGCGGGTTGTATATTCCGACCATGGCTGTTCTCGAAACTTCATCGGACTTGTAGTCTGTATGATTAATGGTTCTTTCAATTAGTAACTATTCACAATCTTCTCTATTCCCTTTAATGAAACGAGAGTTCCCACTCTTTTTCTTTCTTTTTTTCGCCTTCCTTTTCTCCTCGGTTTCCCTACTGATACATCCATATCTCTATAAATCTTCTAATGCAATAACGCGGGATACAAAGAGAGAAATTCAACAGCATCCACCACCGTAAGGGTTAATATTACGAAAAACTCAAAACTGGTACATCTGTGATAAATTTATCCAAAACTAATTTTTTTATCACTAAAAATCCTAAACTGGTATATTTGTGATAAATTTACCTTCTGTTAGTTTCCGTTAAATTGGATTAATACAAAAAAAAATCACAAATTGATACACTTATGACAAACGAAGGGTAAAACATAAAACTGGCACATCAGTCAACTACCGTGTATTATTTAATTAAGCAATTTGACAGTAAAATTTAACGAAAATAAACTAAGGGTAAATTTATTGCTGGTGTACCAGTTTGGGATTTTTTGTGGTCAAAAAATTAGTTTGTGATAAAATTATCACACGTGTATCAATTTGGGGTTTTTTGTGGTATTAACCCCCACCGTAAATGCCACGTGTCAATCGAGCCGCCAACTCTTGCTCCTCCAATTTTAAGATTTATTTTGTTTTTTTTCTTTTTCCCAAAGATGTTCTCACCCTTCACTTGCCAAACGAACATAAGATTTTTACGAAGTTGAGTTTTTTCTTTGTTTTTCCTCTTTATCATTTTATTTTCAAATCTTATTAAAGAAAAAGCTTTTCTATTTTCAACTTAATTTATAAGAACTCAAGTGTACTTTTAAATTCTTTTATATTTTCACGTCGACCTATTAATGTACCGTTTATTAGTTTATATTCTTTTTTTCTTTTTTCTTTTTATTTATTCTGTTAATAATTCTTTCTCACTTTTGGTGCATGTAATTTTGTAATGTGTATTTTTATGGAATTTGGTTTTGAGCTTATTGAACAAGAACAATCTTTGTAATTTTGAAAAATTACGGACCTTGAAATTTTCTTTATATGGCTATCTATATGTTAATTAATGATTGAATAACGTGTTCAAATTCGGATTTCGAGTTAAGGGCGATCATCGTTTATATACCAGTTTACAAATTTCAGAGTTATTTTTCTTTTTCGTTGTTCTAATAATTCTCCCCAAAGTTGTATTCAATGCAATTTTAAATAAAAAAATTTATGTATCGATGTTCTCACTGTATGGATAATTCAAATTTTCGATTTTTACTTTGCAACTACTGGAATCGATATTTTCTCAATATTAAATTGTATAAGTACAGCTGTTTTCCTAACACGATAATACAGTGAAAAACTGTAAACTCTAGCTTCAATAGTCAATAAATTTTCATAGTATATGAGATGCAAATTATCTTGGAAATTGTTAGAAAGTCCAATCTAAAAGAAGAAATCACATGTCTATAAAGAGTATGTAACACTGTGGAATTTGACGATGGACGCACGTATAGATTGGAGCAAAATCTAACTCTGATACCATATTAGAATATCTGACTCAAAATCTTAAGCCACTAGGTGGAGATAAATCACATGTATATAAAGAGTATATAACCTACATAGCATGCAATGTGAGATATTTCAACAACTACAATATTATCCAATTTATTTATTCTCTTTTTTTTTTGGTTGGATTTATTCTCTTTAATAAGGTGTTATCTTCGTTGATTATTTTAGTAAGCTTGTAATTCATTTCTATTCACATAGTGTTTTGGAATATGGTATTTAATTATGTTAGTTCCATTTCATGCTCGGCTGTTTCATTTTAATATCAAGACATTTAATTGGTACGTTAGACGCATTCCCAAAGGACATCACATGCCTAGTTAAAGAACTTAATAGGAAATCCATCCGATCCTTTACTTTCACTTTCTACTTATTTGAATTCATTTAATAATCATATAATGACCCTAAAAGAGAGATCTTGTAGGTCATTAGTGTCCAACACATATATGAGTGAAGCATCGATGTTGACGTGCAAACATGATGTAATTGGAAAACACTTTCTAATAACTCATTTTTCAAGAAAATAGCAATATCTTTTTATATTTAGTGAAAATTCAAAGATGAGTTGAAATTATTTCCGCTGTTGAATAGAAAATCGGTTTGTGATTTTTGATATGGGATGAATTATCTTAATAGGAGCACCTCTTTATAGATAGTTGTTTCAGCATAGTTCCAAAAACTGGGAACCGATTCTGCCAGGGTTCCAAGTTAGGTCGGAACCGCTCACCCCTAAAGCTGTGGTGAATGGTCTCTCTGATGTTTGGTACTCTGCACCGGGCAAACAAGGAAGGAAAGTTCCCCATTGTATTTGGCAGTCAAAGCCGAGCAGTCGGAGATCCTCACACTTTCGCTCGCTGTTCGATTTGGTCCATCAAGGATTCAGGACATGACCCCAGTTTGCGCCGCGGCAACTCACTGGAATCTGGGCAACTTCAGTTTCAAGTTCTGAAATGAGATGTTGTCGTTGCAAGCACTGATCCAAGGATAAGAAAAAGCTCAGGCTATGTCTGCATGAGAAAATTTTTAGCATAAGTTCCAGCAAATTCATTATCACCTAAGAAAGTAAACCATGAGTCATGGTCGTTGGGATCCTCAGCGCCTTTAATGTCTGCTGAAAGAGATGGCAGAAAGGAAGGAGGAGCTTTTCCATATGAGAGATGCAGCTACATTCAGCAGCATATCTTGATCACGGTGACGGAGTCCAGCTTTTGCTGAGAAAATTCACCACCAGCGCTCTCGAGTATGACAGAGATGGCAATTTTCCGATTCACGTCACTTGCAAGATGAATCAGCTTGGGACAGTCAAGGATCTACTTTCGTGGTGTCTGAGTGAGTACCTAAACAGACGGACGAAACATTCTGCATGTTTCGGCAAAGTATGGCTTATACTTGGCCGCGGAATACATACTCAGAAGTCCCGAAGCAGAGAAGCTTGTGAATCAAAAGGACAGTGATAGGACTACACCTCTCCACTTGGCCACAATGTATCGGTAATCTGGGGGTTTGTTCCTTCTCACGAGGGATACAAGAGTCGATCTCAAGGTGGTGACCAAGACATGCTTCACGGCGCTTGACACTGCTCGAGAGCGCTTGAAAAGGTGCTATCCCTACCAAAAGGTATGACGGTCTCTATAATATCCGCAGCCAGTGCAAAGCAGACTCTTTTCATAGGCGACGTATGTTCTAGCAATATATGCAACTGAAATCTGATTCAAAGTCATATATGGCAACGAACACCGATAGTATGTGCTGTATGTACAGAGACATAGCACAATGTCTTTTCCTTTGCTTCCATGATAGAGTCTAACACTAAGGATATTGCTGTTCAACGGAATACCCGAAAGTAAAGATTCGGTCATTTTTATGCCAGAGCGAGAGCATGAAATTGTAGTGGGACGAATTCAGACTCTAAGAGGAGACTTCACGAAGGGCCGGTAAACACCTGCTTGCTCTTGGCAACACTCATGGCCACTGTGACTTTCGCCGCTGGTCTTGCAGTTCTGGGAGGGTATAACGGCTCTGGCACAGGACAAGGCCATGGCATTGCCACAGCAATGAAGAAGACTATGTTCCATGTATTCTCTGAATGCAATATGCTCACCGTGTTCAATTCAATGGTTTTGGTCCTCATGCTCCTCTACGCACAAATCAATGACTCTCAAGCAGCGCTATTTGCATATGGAACTGCGGTTTTGCCCCTGTTGGTAGCTCTCAAATGTCCCCGCATTCACGGCAGGCTTGTACGTGTCCATCAGCAAACTCAGCTGGCTCGCAAATGCTACTTCGGTTATGATGGTCATTTACTTGAGCATCACCTTCACTCTTCGTGCTATGTTCAATGTGCCGCTCAGATTGGATCTAACTTACTTTCGCCATATCTCCTACTATCTAATCTTGATCGCTCTTTACGGGACAGGAAGTTTCGATCGGAAGTGTGCCGACACTGACAATGAACAGAGGAGGGGATCTCAATGTGAAGATTCGAGGGGCCCGAGAATAAATACTAGTGGAGCTTAGTGGTCAAGGGCACAAAATATCTTAACTGGAAAACTTGGCCCAGGGAAAAATAAGTTCGATAGCGTTACGACTGGCTATAGCTACCATAGTTCGAAATACGAACTCTAGCTAGTTGAAAGGATTTTTGTTTTTCCAATCCAGCATCATTTAGTGATGTTCGTTGGTGAAAGGCCAACGTCAAGAAGGCAAGATTGGTGTTTTCAAATTTAACAAAGATGGTCATGACAAGGACAGGCAGAAGGCATGCCAGAGCTGAAAGGGGGTCTATTGAATCAAATTAATCTTCTGCTCACACAATTATACCAGTAACATAAAGGGATAAATCAGCTAAGCTAATGAATAAGAATAGATCATGTGAAGAGAGCAGTCTTAAGGCTATTTCCCACCTAAACCTCAGAAAACCTAGAACAAGGTAGGATTAAAAGCTCCGCACTTCACTACAAGAAGTTGTGATTATTCTCTACCGGAGGCAGCTAGTAAGCATTCAAATAAACCAAAAGAAGAGAAAGAAAGTTAATCGAGAAAAAAAGAGACTGGAAAAGTTGCATCACTCGGCAGCGGCTACCCCCGATTCAGCTGCTTTTTCTCCCTTGGGGGCTTCGGGAACCTCTGCTTTCTCAGGGTTGCCACCATCGGGGGCGACTTTTTGAGGGGTCGCCGGCTTCTCTGCAGCCGGTTTCTCTGCAGCACTGCCAGGAACATCACCAGATGTGGCATCTGTAGGAATTTTCTCACTCTTTTCGTCCTTGCTCCCTTCCTTCGAGTCCTTCTCCTTCCCATCTTTCGTGGGTGGTGGCGGTGGGGCAGGCATCATGTGAGGCGGAGGGTGCTGTTTCAGCTTGAACAAAACTTGCCTCATTCTTGAAAGATCGGTGGGCTTTCCTGGCTTAGGCCCCTGAACGACCACAACCAAGGGCTTTTTCTCGGCGTCCCTCTTCCCTCTCTTCTCTATGTTTGGAACTTCTCGAGGGATGATCTCAGCTATGGCTTTCCAGTAATGCTTGTCGGCTTCCTTGTGGAACTGCTCTTGGTTGGCCAAGTACAGCTGACATAAAAGAACCAAGTAATGCTCTTGAGGTGACCTAACAAAGTTTTCTTAGGCGTTTCGTAATACGAAGATCGAGAATTAGTAAGTGAAAGGTGCGAAGAGAGCGATTGTGTGACTACTCCATAGAAGTTTTACCTTCTCTCTTTCTCTGTTATTGGCTTTGTTTGTTTCGCAGTTGAGCTTCCTTTTCTCATAGAAATCTCGTATATACTCTTCAGCTTCGGCAATAATCTGATCCCGCATCTCCTTCTCCCTCTTCTCCTTTTCCTCGAGTTGTATGGCGTTTTGACTGCATCCAAGAAGTGGTTACGGTTTCTCTTCCAATCTGAACTCATTTTCTGCTAGATTCGTTGGAAAACAGAAAAAGTGCCGGGTAGTGCAAACTGTTGTCACAGGGGACTACAATGCAATCTCTAAGCAGAAACATCAGATAGTGCTTTCAGAGAACAAAAGCAACCAAATTAAACACCCACAGAAAAATCCAAAGTAACTAAAGAACCAAATCCTGTTGGAGATGTGTCCCAGTGCTGCTGTTGTTTTTCTTGTCGTTTTAGTCTTTTCTGTTTTGCAGTTAAGTTTGATTTGTTAGGCAGTTAGTTTGTTAGCTATTTTTTAGGAAGTGGAACAAGTCAGTTCTTTTACACGTTTGTGTGCAGTTCAAAACAGGTTCCTATTAAGCTTGTTCTGTACAGTTTTTTTTTTGTTAATGTTAATATTTTCAGTCTTCTATTCCATCTCTCTCTGTGAAATCAGAAAGTTGTGAAGGCTGGTTTGTTTCATCTATATTAATAATTGGTATCAGAGCTTCTGTGGGATCTTAAGGGACTGTGGAGTGAGGGTAAGCGAGCCTGCAAAGACAAAGCTGATGGAGGCAGGATCAAGTGGATTCTCTGCAATGGCTACTCCGGTCTTTACTGGGGAAAATTATCAAGCTTGGGCTGTCAAGATGACAGCATTCTTGGAGGGTCATGATCTATGGGAGGCTATGGAGAATGATTATGAAATTGCTCCACTTCCAAACAATCCGACCTTGAATCAGATAATGTTCCATAAAGAGAGAACCACAAGAAAGGCCAAGGCAAAGTCTTGCATGCATTCTGCTGTCTCACCCCTTATCTTCACAAGGATCATGAGATGTAAATCTGCAAAGGCAATATGGGATTGCTTGAAGGATGAATACGAGGGAGATGAGAAGATAAGAAGCATGAAGGTGCTGAATCTCTTAAGGGAGTTTGAGAGACAGCAGATGAAGGATTCAGAGTCAGTGAAGGAATACTCTGATAGGCTGATTGAGATAGCTGAAAAGATCAAAGTTTTAGGGACTGACTTGAAGGATGAAAGGCTGGTTCAGAAGATCCCGGTGTCACTTCCAGAGAAGTTTGAAGCCACCATAGCTTCTCTGGAAAATACAAGAGATTTAGCTGACATAAAGCTTGCAGAATTGTTAAGTGCCCTGCAGGCACAGGAGCAAAGAAGACTGATGAGAAGAGAAGAGCCTGTAGAGGGTGCATTGCAAGCTAAAATGAAGTTCAGTGATGGAGGCAAGGGGAAGAAATGGAATCAGTCCAAAGGAAATGCAGGTGACTCCAAGTTTGCGGCGAAAGAAGGAAGTTCTAGTGGGTCTGACAAATGGAAGAAGAACAAGAAGCCTTGTCAGCACTGTGGTGGAACTACTCATCAGTCCTTTAGATGCTGGAGGAGGCCTGATGCTAAGTGTAGAAGATGTCACAAGATGGGTCACATGGAAGCAATCTGCAAAGAGAACAATCACCAGCAAGCAGGAGAAGCACAGATAGCAGTGAATGAGACTGAGGAAGAATGTTTGTTTGTGGCTTCCTATTCTGGTTCTCCTGTTGAGAATGATGCATGGCTGGTGGATAGTGGCTGTACCAATCATATGACTAGCAATTTGAAGCTGTTTAGGAGTCTAGACAGGTCAGTCAAGTCTAAATTCAGAATTGGCAATTGACAGTATATCGAAGTGCAAGGGAAGGGTACAGTGGCTATTGAAGGAAATCAGGAGGTGAAGCTGATTAGTGATGTTCTCTTTGTGCCAAAAATTGACTAGAGTGTTGGCCAATTAGTTGAGAGGGGCTATAAGGTGAAGTTTGAAGGAAAGGAATGCCTTATTGATAATGCAAATAGCAAAGAAGTGTTGAGAATGCCAATGAAGAACAAGTGCTTCCTGTTCAAGCCACAGAAAATGCAACAAATGGCTTTGAAGTGCAAAGAAGAAAATGCAGAGCTATGGCATAAAAGGCTTGGACATGTTCACTGGAAGAACATGTTGTTTATGCAGAGGAATAGCTTAACAGATGACTTGCCAAGTTTGGAGGAGGAATTTCCAAAGTGCAGAACTTGTCTTCTTGGCAAGCAAGCCAGATTTCCTTTCAAAGGAGGAGGCTGGAGAGCATGTGAGAAGCTGCAATTAGTTCACACAGACTTATGTGGACCTATGTCCGAGTCATCTCTCAATGGTAGCAGGTATTTCATTACTTTCACAGATGACAAGACTAGGATGAGCTGGATTTACTTTCTGCAAGCCAAGTCTGAAGTTGCTGATGTGTTTGTGAAGTTCAAAGCCTTAGTTGAGAATCAGAGTGGGAAGAAAATCAAAATGCTCAGATCTGATAATGGTTCTGAGTATACTGCTCACAAGTTTAAGTTAAACTGTGAGGAAGCAGGCGTTATGCAGCAGTTCACTGCCCCCTAGTCACCTCAACAGAATGGAGTCAGTGAGAGGAAAAATAGAAGTATTATGGAAATGGCCAGATGTATGATGTAGGAAAAGATGTTACTTAAGAAGTTCTGGGCTGAGGCAGCTAGTACTGCAGTGTTCTTGTTGAACAGATTGCCCACAAAGGCCTTAGAGAGGTCAACACCTTTTGAAGCCTGGTATGGTGTTAAACCTTATGTAAAGAATTTAAAAGTTTTTGGGTGTTTGTGTTATACGCATGTTCCTCAGGTCAAGAGGGACAAGCTGGATCAAAGAGCTGAGCCTGGAGTCTTCATTGGATACAGTCTACATTCAAAGGCTTATAGGATTTTTCAGCCTATGACAGGGAAGGTGACTGTGAGTAGAGATGTTGTTTTTCTAGAGGAAGATGAGTGGAATTGGATGGAAGAAAAGAATGCAGAACAGAAGAAATCTGCAGAACAACAACCTGCAACAACTGTATAGGTTGATGAGGTTGTGAATGGATTGGAAGATACTATGGATGATATGCCAGTAAGAGGCACAAGGTCACTTGCTGAAGTTTATGAAAGAAGCAATGTGGCAGTGCTTGAACCAGCTAACTTTGTGGAAGCTAAGGAGGATCAGAAGTGGATTGCAGCAATGCAGGAGGAGTTGACAATGATTCAGAAAAACCACACATGGGAGCTTGTTGACAGACCATCTAACAAGAATGTGATTGGGGTTAAGTGGGTGTTCAGAACAAAACTTAATCCTGATGGTTCTGTTAATAAACACAAAGCTAGACTAGTTGTGAAAGGCTATGCTCAGATATGGGGAGTAGATTATTCTGAAACTTTTGCGCCTGTTGCAAGACTTGATACAATCAGGCTACTATTAGCTGTTGCAGCAGAGAAGGGGTGGCCTATATTTCAGCTAGATGTCAAGTCTGCATTTCTGAATGGAGAGCTCGAAGAGGAGATTTTTGTTGAACAACCTGAAGGCTTCAGTACCAAAGGGCAAAAAGAGAAGGTATACAGATTGAGGAAAGCTCAATATGGACTGAAGCAGGCTCCAAGAGCTTCGTATGGAAAGATAGACAGATATTTGCAGGATTTTGACTTTGTAAGAAGCTTGAGTGAGTTCACTCTTTATGTCAAGAAGGTGAATCACATCGTTGTAATTCTGTCACTCTATGTAGATGATTTGTTGGTGACAGGCAATGATGTGGAACTGATAGAGAGGGTGAAGCAAGGTCTGTTTGCAGCTTTTGAGATGTCAGACTTGGGAAAGATGGCTTATTTCCTAGGTTTGGAAATTAAACAAACTTCACATGAGATTTTCATCTGCCAAAAGAAATACATGAAGGAAATTTTGAAGAAGTTTCAGATGGAAGATTGTAGAAGTGTCAGCACTCCTATGACTGCTAAGAAGAAGCTGCAAAAGAATGATGGAACAGAAGCAGTAGATGCTTCAATGTATAGAAGCTTAATTGGATGTCTCATGTATCTCACAGCAACTAGACCAGATATTTTATTTGCTGTGAGTGTTTTATCCAGGTTCATGAGTAGTCCTAGTCAGTTACATTTGGTCGCTGCAAAAAGGGTTTTGAGATACATCAAAGGAACATTGTTCTTTGGTGTGAAGTTTAGAAAAGGCCAGAAGTTTAAGTTGCAGGGTTTTTCTGATAGTGAATGGGCTGGCTCAGTAGATGACATGAAGAGTACATCTGGGTACTGCTGCACTCTTGGTTCTGCTTGTTTCTCCTGGTGTTCCAAAAAGCAGGAGATTGTAGCTCAGTCCACTGCAGAGGCTGAGTTTATAGCAGCTACTGCAGCTGCAAATCAAGTTTTGTGGCTGAAGAAGATAATGAAGGATCTGTGGTTGAGTTCTGGTGATTGCATTAAAGTTTATGTGGACAATCAGGCTACTTTAGCAATATCACAGAATCCAATTTTCCATGGCAAAACCAAGCATTTTAAGATCAAATTCTTCTTTCTGCGTGAAGTGCAACAAAGTGGTGAAGTTAAGTTGGTTTATTGTAGATCAGAAGATTAGCTTGCAGACATGTTCACAAAGCCACTTCAGGTTGAAAGATTTGAGCTGTTAAGGGAGAAAATTGGAGTTTACAGCAGCAACTGATCCAAGGAGGAGTTTGTTGGAGATGTGTCCCAGTGCTGCTGTTGTTTTTCTTGTGGTTTTAGTCTTTTCTGTTTTGCAGTTAAGTTTGATTTGTTAGGCAGTTAGTTTGTTTGCTATTTTTTAGGAAGTGGAACAAGTCAATTCTTTTACACGTTTGTGTGCAGTTCAAAACAGGTTCCTATTAAGCTTGTTCTGTACATTTTTTTTGTTAATGTTAATATTTTCAGTCTTATATTCCATCTCTCTCTGTGAAATCAGAAAGTTGTGAAGGCTGGTTTGTTTCATCTATATTAACAAATCCTTCCTGGTTTATTACGAACGGCAACTGCTAAACTGGTACAAATGAGAATCAACGCTTACGAATAGAAGCTATCAAGTTCCTACTCAAATTTACACAGAACTATATGCATGAAGACTTAATACCATGCGGTAGTTGTCAAGGACATTAAATTCAACATATTTATCACTCTTAAGAAGCGTTTGCTATGCTGCTATTGATGGACGAAAATTTACTTAGCACAGGACAGATTGACCAATATTCAATCATTAAAACACAAATGATCAGATTGCATTTGCACCAAGCCCAACAATATGACTGGAGAAAAAGGAAAAGAAGAATAAAGGAAGAAGATAAATAGAAGAGAAACCCCACCGCCTCCACTCACGTCGAGCGGCACCTTCCTCGACCATCTCACTTGGCGGAGGCAACAGAGGCCCATCCGACACAAAACCACCTCCACCACCCTCCTCCGCTACTCCGTTCATCACCGGCTCGAAGGGCGAGACGAAATCCGGGTTTGGGGTTGATACGCTGAACCCGTAGACCTCAGGCGATGCCTGGCTGTCACCGTACCCGCCACCGCCGGTGTCTCCGAAGACGTCGCCGTCCTCAGAAGAGGGAGGGGGAGCACTGGCCAAGACGTCATCAGAGGGGGCGAAAGCGGGGTCGTAGCCCATGAAGGCGTCGTCGTGGAAAGGGCTCGAGCGGTGGTCCCGTGAGTCGGGGTCGTGGGGGTGCTCTTCGGCTTCAGTTGCCACGGCGTCGAATGACTCCATGTCTCCGATCCTCTGCAGCTCCAAACAACACAACAGTGCGAACGCAAGGCCTGTTGTTTACTTCTCTTGATCTTCCTCGACTTTGTTCTGGGTTTGTTCGATGTTCGTGTCTTTGCCGTTGTGAAGAACGCCGAGTTCGGATCGACAATGCCCGGGTGTGCGTGCGTGTGTGAACCAGACGCAAAAGTCACGCTCTCTCTCTCTCTCTCTCTCTCTCTCTTTATCTAGCGCTCGCTCTTCCTGCTTTGAAGAGGTGACGCCCAAGTGGAGTTTCAATGGGAACGTGTTGATTTTCCATGCAATCTCGGAGAAAAAGCGCAGGAGGATTGTCGTTTTCAGCCGTTTCCGTAACAACGTGAGTTAATATTCTTTTGCAATTTAATGATAGGAAGGTCTAGGTCAAAATAAAACTGAGGCCAAGCCTAAAACATTACGCCAATTGCACACGTAAATGATATGCCAAGATACACGTGTGAGAGTATTAAGCTTTTCATGATTCTCGCATAGGAGAATTGATAAGGAATGAAACAATCATAAAATCTATTTGTCCTCTGTTAATAGTTAAATTTTGGGGATTTTTTATTTTTATATCAAATTATGCAATTGGGACTGACCATTATGCAATTCAAGGTCCCAGATTCATTTGTTGTGAAGGCACTATGACTTAAAAATGACTAGAAAAAATTCAATTGCATTTTTGGTTCAATTCGGGTTTAATTTTGCTCAATTTTGGGAAAAACATATTCCCGATTGAGATTTTTCAAAATTGATGATGTATTCATGAATTTGGATTTAAAATAAAACTAATGACTATTTTTATGGAATTTTCTGATTCCATTTGCTATTTTTCTTGATTTTCTCACTTATTTTGACTAAAAGAAATTAAGGAAAAATGCAGAAAAATGTTAAAAAATTATTTTTTTTGGTTTAGAAATAGGTTTCTAGGCTTGGCCAAGATTCGTAGTCCTAATTTTGAAATTTTTTAAAATATGAAAAAAAAAATTAGCTAAAAATTAGGTGTCAACAGGGACAAGACCTAAAGTTTGGGGGTAAATTTAAGATAAAATTGAGGCAAAACCTAAAGTTGAGGGTTTTTTATGGGACAAAAAAAATTTATGGAAGAAGTGGGACTAAATTCAAAGTTGGAGGTTTTTTATGAGATAAAAGGCAAAATTGGAACAAAAGTTAAAATTGAAGATTTTTTAGGGTATTAGGCCAAATTCCATGTTAAAGCCATGAGTTATTCGAGCATCTCGAGTGCGAGCTCTCCGATCACGAGAGATGGAACATTTCCAACCATGAGAGTTATTGACGAGCGCAAAATCACTGAGGGTGATTTTGCTGAAGGGCTAATGGAGAGAGATTTGAGACTCAAGTAAAAGTTTGTGACATTTTACAAGACAAAAAAAATTAGAGTGAAATTGAAACTGAACCTGAAGCTAGGATTTTTTTTATTAGACAAAAAAGAAGTTTAGAGTATAATTGATAGGACCTAAAGTTGAGGGTTTTTTATAAGACAAAAAAAGTTTATGTTAGAATTGAGACTAGACCTAAAGTTGAGGGTTTTTATTGGGATAAAAAAAAGTTTAGGGTTAAATTGGGACATGACCAAAAGTTAGAGACTTTTTATAATACAAATGGATGGAATTGGGACAAAAGCTACAGTTGGAGGGTTTTTATGAGACAAAAGGTAGAATTGAGATAAGAGCTAAAGTTGGAGGTTTTTTAAGGGTATTAGGCCGATGAAATTTGGTGTTTTTTGCAAATTATATTGTGCGAGGTTTTTCTCTAGAGGAGGATAATTTGGTCTTTTTGTCCATGAGATCCTACGTCGTTAGAATACTAAGTGGTATTTTGAGGAAAGAAACAACAGAAAAAAGGGGAAATAGTATTGAAATTAAGGTTCCGTTTGTTTTGCAGAAAATAAATAATTTGAAAAAAATATTTTCCTAAAAATGATCGCTTATATGGTTTATAAAAATAAATGAATGAGAATTTTTCTTCATAATCTATGAAAATATTTATACATAAATTATTGTTAATAATTAAAATATTTTTTATTGACTAATTATTTCAAGTGATACTAGCAATTATTTTTAGAAAAATGTTTTTCAAATTATTCATTTTCTGCGAAATAAACGAAACCTAAAAGTAAAAAGGGTATTTGATATGTTTTTCCCCTTTTTTTTTCCTTTCTTCTTCTTTTCCATTAGTTATTTTAGTCCTCGGTTGATCAAGCAATAGTGTGCCGGTGAATGGATTGATAAGTCAATCTCAAGTCAATTAAACTAATGAAATTAATTTTCAATGTCCCTATCGTCAGTTGTGCACTAACCTACCCTTTCGGGGTCAATTTCTCGAGCCACGCTCCTCCACATTTTCTATCATTCCTTTTTCTCTAATGTTTTAAACATGTGACTCTTCTCTTAGATCGAGTGCTCATGTATTGCTAAACCGACGACGATGAGAATTATTAAGTTGAACCGTCTCCCAATGAGTGGGCTTGCGTAGCTTTTTTAAATGTGTGACCGTTCATTTGTCACGAACATGACATTTGTCAAAAGATTCTTCGTAACTAAGGCTGGACTTGTATATATGTCCGCTTGTGTTCCAGCACTCTTGGAGCTCACATTTCTTGATTTTGGAAAATGGAAATGACGAATTAATTTCTGAGCGAAGGAGAGAAATAAAATGTTATTACTTAGCCAACGTCATAGCCAAAGGTCTCTTTGGATATTTAGTTGAAAATGGAATTTCTTTGAATTATGGCATGTTAATGTTTAAACTTTCAATTTTCCGATAATTTTTAAATTTTAGTGTTCGTCTTTGATTTATGGGATAAAGTTAAAACATTTATGTTTAAATGGTTAACTGTAGCTTAAGAATGATCACTTTAGATAAAAAGTACACCCTGCTCCAAAAAATTGTATTTTGCATTGGTTTATTTCTTTGAATTAATTTTTTCTTTCACTTTGTCACCTATACAAGCTCAATTATGACAGCTTGTCGCGAATATTTGTTGAATTTAGTTGTTCCCAAAAATGGGGTGGACTCCGATGTAATGGTAACTATGGCTTATACCCAATGACTTATTGCAGGTATGCTTCATGCAAGTAGGGCCCACATATGGCCTGTGCATGGTTGATTATGGACTAGTGGCGGTATCTAGGGTTACCACTCTCTAAAATATGTTATTCTACAAAGAGTTTTAGTTAGGTCAACCTGAAGTGAGGCTCATTAGGGCCATGGTGGTCGCAACCCCATGACAACTAAGGTTGCGACCACCCCGGCGTTGTGGCCCAGCCTCGAGCAACACTTACTTGGCCATTCCTTCTCCTCTGTCCTCAAATAGAGGAGGGCAAGCTCTATTGGGCTGTGGCCTTGCGACGAGCCTTGGGTGATGTCAAAGTGGCATCGGTGACGCCAAGTCTAGGCTTGGTGTCGTGTCCAGGGTCACAAGCCCAGGCCCGATTTTGATGTGTTAACAACTAAATTTTCGCCTATGACGACAGAATATGACCTCTAATCAAAGTTGTCACCGATAACGTCATCCTACATTCATTTTTTCCGCCGAACTTCTTCAGCACTTCTAAACTAGGGACATCGCAGTTTCGAGATCTCGGGCCTGGCGATCAGAATTTCAACCAATGGAGGCCGGGGAGCAAACCAATGCCACCAACCCAACCCAGCAATGTCCATTTGCACTTTTTAGCCTAATTCAAGCCCATTAAGCCCAATTTCTTGATCCACCAGCTCTCTAATGAAACCTAGGTCCAATTAGGATAAAATGAAAAGTCCGAGGAGTTTGGACCGGTCAATGGACCAGCCTGGCCCACAAGAAAGGGGACGTGCACTGATATAAGGGTAACTAGGACTTATGCTCAAAAACCCTAAACTAGTACACTTGTGACAATTTTACTTTCCGTTAGTTTCCATTAATTTTATCATTAAATTTCTGAGTTGGATGACACATGGCAGTTGACGGATATACCAGTTTGGGGTTTTACTCTCCGTTTGTCACAGATGTATCGATTTGTGATTTTTCATTAAATTAATCTATTTTGACGGGTGATAAATCTGTCACAAGTGTACCGATTTGGAATTTTTTTCTATGGTCAAAATATTAGTTTTGGCTTAAATTATTACAGATGTACCAGTTTGGAATTTTTAGTGCTAAAAAATTAGTTTAGGGTAAATTTGTCACAAGTGTACCAGTTTGGGATTTTTCATGGTATTAACCGTTAATAGATTGACACGAAAATATAAAAGAAATTAAAAGTACACTTATATGGTTAAATAGATAAGTTGAAAATCGAATTTTTTTTTCTTTAATTAGGTTTTAAAATAATAAAATAAAGAGGAAAAGAGGAAGAACTAAGCTATGCACAAATTTTTCGTTTTGAAAGATGAAGGAAGGGAACATTGTTGGAAACAAAAATGACAAGAAAGAACAAAAATTTTGGAGGCGCTAGGGTCGGCAGTCCGTTTGACACATGGCGTTCTACCGTTCTCTCTTGGTGTCCCGCGTTAAATGTATTAGAAGAAGATATATAGTCATATGAACGTTAAAATAGGGAAACCGAAGTAGAAAAAGGAGGGAAATCTAAAAACAGTAGGATCTCTCGTTTATCAAAAGGAAATCGATTGAAGATTGTGAAGAGTTTCTCCTGGAAAGTACTTCCATAATCGGAATATCCGATCAAAAAACTTTGATGGGCAAGTGTTGCATACATTTCAAGCGAAAATAACCACGCTTTTTTCTGCACACTTTGATGAAATTAAAGTTGGCCTAATACAATCTATGTCGGTGAATCAACTAAAACTGCCTTGACCTCCACCATGAAAAATGTAGGATTGTAAGGCTCCGTTTGTTTCGTGAAAAATAAATAATTTGGAAAACATTATCCAAAAAATGACCGCTTGAATCTCTGATAAAAATAAGTAAACGGAAAATATTTTCATCATTTACGGAAAAATATAGACATCAATTATTACCGGTAATGTTAAAATATATCTCGAGTTTAAGTCCGTGAACAAAATTCGATCCGAGATGAATTATTATTTGCGAGCGTCCAAATATAAGCTATGAAAATTCAGAGTTTTCTTTTCGGTGTAAAAGTTTCGTTGGTCAAGGATTTCAAACAAAGCTAAAGAGAAAAGTCAAATATTGGAGTTTTGTTGACCGAATCCAACTTGATTTTGTTTTCTTGTCCCAGTACGCGTGGCTATCTTTCCCGATTTGCTGCCCTTCTTCAAGCGGTGGACATTCGAGCATATTTACATATATTTGCGGGTTGCTCTAGTGGTCGGTAGAGGGAGAAATATTGAAGCGCCGTTTAGTCGAGTAGTTGTGGATTATCTCCGTGGATTTATTCATGGCATCACACCAAGAATTCAAGTGTTAGTGGCGATTAAATCTTGTGATAAGATTTGTGTGCAATTCTTTCGCGAGATTAAAAGATTATTTCGTGAGAAATTGTGGGACTAAACAATGCGTGAGTTATTAGGTACAATTGAGGCTCGGGAAATACTAAGAGTGTTTGAGTAACTCGAGTGTGGTTGTATTCACCATTGTATCACGTGATATATAGTGGAATTCCGTACTGCTCGTCCCGTAGACGTAAGTCACTATGACCGAACCACATAAATTTAATGTCCGATTTATTTTCTTATTCTGTCAAATTTATTGTTTGATCGCTTGGCTTCCGCAACAGGTAATAAAAAAATTTTCATTGAATAATTATTTCGAGCAATTTAAGCGATCATTTTCAAGGAAATATTTTCTAAATCATTTATTTTTCACGAAATAAACGGAGTTTAAACAGAAAAAGTAAAGCCGAAATGGGCAACGGCTTTCTAACTTCTTTATTTCAGGTAGTTCCTAGCTGTGCTTGTTCTTCCATCCCTGCCTGTGATGCCTCGACTACCATCTGGACTTGTTAGTGATAGAATTCGTAATTGGCTTGTATACTTATGTTACCATGCAAAAATATATAGAAGGTATTGCTCAACAAAAGAGGAAAGTAACCTACCTAACTATAAGAGATACACCTAAATTTATGCTCAAAGTAAATTCTCCCCACAGTTTGAAAAGCTGGCCAGCACATGTTGACTAATTGGCGGATTCCATAACCACTTGGAGCCATCGTTCTCCCTCTTCGGACACAAACATATAGATCGCCGCGGCCCCATAGATTCCGAAGCACAGACAAAAGATCTTGAGCCACTTGAGTTTGCTCACCGCCAGAATTAAGGATGCCGAAAACGCCACTGTTAGGAAGATGATAGCCATCGACAATAGTGACCCTGCTAGTTTCAAATATTTTTTTGCTTTGCGGTGATCGGCATTGTGAGCCTGGAGGAGGGTTAAGATTGAAAGGATGGAGCTGTACATGGCGAACGCGTTGAAAATTACGAAAACCTGAAATCCTCGACTGTACAGCATGGACGGCACTCCTGGATCTGGATCACTGGAGAGATTATATCCACCGGGCAATGCTATGCCGGCGGCGAATGTGACAGAGGCCACGAGTGTGGCCACTATCAATCGATTTCCAATCTCTTCGGAGATCCATTTGTTGGGAGATGACTCACTTGCTCCAGAAGTTGCACGGCCTTGTGACTGCAAATGTCAAATCGGAGAATTAGTCATCCATCGTGAGCACAGTAGATTTTTAACAGTAAACACAGCAAGCAACCAAGATTACATTACCGCATCAGGTGTCGGTGGCGGGCTTCCGGATTCCATGGCCACATCCAGGGCGCTCAACTTGTCGTCGTTCAGAAGCTGCAAGTCACTTGCCCCCCTTATGTAGGGGGGAGCACTCACTCTTATATAGGGTCAAGTTTTTCGATCAACCGAACAGTCGATGCGACTCCCCTTGGCTAATGTCATTGATTAAAGACCCACGGTCAATTAGTGATAAGCATGACAAAATTCAGTTTTTTTTTATTAATTAATCATTAAGATTTTGTATTTCCTTTATAGCAATTGTAGCCTTGACTTTCTTCTTAAAAGTTTTCACTTTCATGTATATTTCATGTTGCATCGGAATCGATTTATTGAGAAAAAGTGATTTTTCATTGGGAGATAGCGAGACACCTCCCCACTCCAAAGAAAAAAAAAGTATGGCATGTGAAATCCTTTATACTATGGGAAATGACAGCAGGACGGTACCGTTACTCGTGGGAGGGTAACGGTATTGTCCTGGACCACATACTTTCACAAGGAAACCGGGTGACTTGTGTACCCGGTTCCTTGGGAAAATCATAAATCCCACTTGGTGGGTTTGCTAGCCCAGCAAGTGGGATTTATTGTATTAGAAAAAAAAATCAGCCAAAATAAAAATAAGGGAGTAGAAGAAATAAACTATTTAACATCATCACATTAAGCGCAAAAAAAAAACGATCTAAATATCTTTATTTTATGAGAAAATAAATGTAGGATTACTATTAATGGCGGCACCATTTGCAAAACATTTTACACTTAATAGTTTTTTAATCAAGAACTTGTCTGTTTCACTACGAAAATAGAAAAAAATTAGCAACCCCATATTGAAAGAGTTAGGATTAGTGAATCAAGTTATTTTTACCCAAAAGTTAGTGTTCCAAATCGATGATTTCTAGTTAATTCATCGATTTGCTGGGATGGAAAACTTAACTGTGGGTTGTTTTATCCTTTTAAGTATATGATCATGCATTTTTTTTATTTGAAAAGTGAGGATAGATTTGTTGTGTATGTATTTTTTTTGTTGAAAGTATGTTAAGGGAAAACATTTTTAATGCCATTAAAAAAAATCTAAAGTCAATAATCCAGGATCTTGTCATTTATTAAAATAATAATACTCCATGAATTTGCTTTTCAATATCTCTGTAGTTATGGGCTTCAAAATCTCTCATAACCTTCCCAAGCTCCGGTTGCCAAATCCTCACAAATGGGATTCGGTGGTCATTGTGGCACAGTTATTTGTGGTAAATAACGGTACTGTCATATTAGCGTGACCCTTGTACTCTATATAATGATATATAGATTTATAAAGATATTTTAGCTAATTAAAATGGTTTAGGCCTTTGTTTGGTCTCAATAAAAGTAAGGTAAACACCTCAATATCTCAGATTCTGTTAATTTTGGTTCTCAAAATTGCATTTGATAAGGTACGTCAATTTGAAGCAAATCTTAGCAATGACAATGTTGTTGTCTTTTGATAAATGATGGACCAAAGATTCGGTAAATTCCGTTGCCTTTTTTATTTTGTTTTCCAATAAGAAAACATGTTGTAACGCACAAGAAGAATACATCAAATATGACTAAAATTTACCAATGACCCTTCTTTTCCGGATGACCTCCAGAAAAAAAGTACAAAACATTTGTTTAAGCATAAAAAGAAGCACTAGAATATTAATAATGTTAATCCGTTTGATGATAGATTAATGATTTTTAACACTTGAAAGCAGAGTTATATCCTTTTAATAATTTTTACTCTATCAAGATGGAAACGAAAGTCAATTCAATATTCACAAATGAATTAATTTTTACTCTGGCCGCTACTGTCATTAATGGCAGAGGTGGAGGAGGAAGAGAGAGAGGGGAACTGAGTATGTTTGGTATTTGGTATAAATTGCTCTAAGATACAGGGGTATTTTGGTCCATGCGTAACTATACCGGGTACAATTACCCCCTAAATCAAGATGATCCCAATCCATTTATTTATATGTTGTTTTACAAGTTATTTCACATCGTCGTGGAACTAAAAATGCCACGAAATAAACTATCTAAGAATAGCTTTCTATATCACATTAAACATTCCCCAATGACCCCCACTTCTTGTGCACCATATCAAAACTCTTTAGAATAACCCAACTTAGAGAGTGTTAACTCGAAATGCTGCTCACAAGTCCATAATTAACCATACAGAGGCCATCTGTAGGCCCTGGTTGTATGAAGTGTACCTCCAATAAGTCCATGGGCATAAGTTGTAGTTATCCTTAATATCGGTGTACCTCTTTGTGTATCACATGCTTGAGGAACAATTATATTCAAGAAATATTATGGACAAGCTGTTATAGTTGAGCTAGTATAGGTGACGAAGTGTTTTAGATACAAAGGAGTAATCCGATGCAAAATACAGTTCTCGGGACAAGTGCGACCAAAGTACTAAAATTTATTACGAAAGTGCAATTGAGTCTAATAATTTTTAAATAGTGCAATCAAGTTTTACGGCTTGTCAAATCAATACAATAAAATCCCTCTGTTAAACTCCATTCAATTTGGTTAACGAAATATACTGATGTAATTTTTGATATTATTTTCCTGGGACATGTGGTCCCAATGTGGTGCCTACAGCCTACCAAGCGCCACATCATAAATTTTTTTGAAAATTCAAAATAAAAAAAGGATAAATAAAATTATTAAAAAGGAAAAAGAAAAAGGGAAATTATCAGTTGTTCACCTTTACAGTGTGGAAAGCTACTGAAAACAATAGGAAAATTACGTACTTCAATTATTGGTATGTTGATTTTGAATTTTCTACATGAAAAGGTAGTAACCAGGTCAAGAATATCTTTTTTCGGTAGAAAGAGACTTTCATCAAACAAAAACATTCGTGGCAGTGGGGGCACACCCCATCAGCATCAACACTCGCCAAATAATTTAGCAAGAAAGGTACATTGTGGAAGTCGAAGATAGCAAAGTCATTTTTCCAAATTCTTCCCAACTTTCCGGACTACTAACTTTGGGGTATTGGTAAAGCGAGAAAAAATTTGGCGTATTGATATATAAGCGGGCATGAGTTGAGGTTTCTGGTAGAATTTTCCAGATCCCCGTAACTTCTATTTATCTATATGCCGCTACGTAAGATTTTTAATTGCCGTCTTGAACAGAATTGTGATAGAGCGTATTCTTATCATATTGATACAAATTTGAAGGCTTTGGTGATATAATAAAAAATCTAGAATATCGATGCTATATTGAGCATAGTTAACAGTTTTAAGAAACAGTTTAGAGTTTTAGGTGACATTTTCCCTTTCCTGAATACTTAATTTTTCTTATCTTGAGTAATTCATCGCGTTCGTTTTCGCTCTTTAGGTCCAGGAATTGATTTGCCCCGTTTCACTGTCCATATGATAGCGGGATCTTTTCCATTTGTCGAGAAGTAAGAAATGTCGACAACTAGAGAGCTAAAAGACAAACAAACATAAAGACAAGTCCAACGTTAGGTACAGGGAATCTTCTAGCCTCTGTTCCAATTGATGACAAAAGAACATTTATGTGTTTATTAAGGCCTTATCAACGAATATCTCTGAAATATTTGTTAACGATGCTTAATAGAAAAATTCGATTTCCCATTTGTCCAGAGACAATTTAATCTAATGATTCGTATTTTTCTCGCGACGCTAAGTTATGGTTTAGCATTCGACCAAAAAAAAAAGTTATGTTTTAGCAACTTATGAGCACCCGATCCAAGAGAAGAATTTTTTTTTTAAACATTAGGAAAAAAAAAAAGAATAATTGGAGAAGAGTGCCTGAGAAATGGACAATGAAAGACACGGTGAATAGCAGGCAATAGGGACATAGAAAATGATCAATCCATTCATATGGTAAATATCTCATTTGTTGCATGTTGGTCCCCTTCCAGAACTCCCCACATTTGACTACGCACTTGCTTGTTTCGGATATTCCTCTGTGTATTAGAAGATATTTTGATTACCTTAAGTAATTTATCACGTTTGTTTTCTCTCCTTGGGTCCAGAAATTAATTCGTCACTTTCACTGTCCATGCGATAGCGGTATTATTTTCATTTGTCAAAAAGTAAGAAAAATCGGCCACTAGAGAGCTAAAAGACCTTGAACCAAAAACAGAAAAGAGAAAAGAAAGAGAGCTATAACACAAACAAACATAAAGATGGGTCCAACGTTAGGTACAGGGAATCTTTGGACCTCTGTTCCCATCCATGACAACAAAATTCCATCAGCCGCACTCTTAACATTCAATGCGAGATGGAGATAATACAAGGATGCGGGGTCTCCGAAAACAGGAGATGCCGGCTTGCAGAGGGAGAGGGGCACACCCGATTAGTCATGTTGCTGAGGCCCACTTAAAGTCTTAAATCGGGAGATATTTTGCATTCACGTGTAGGCCTCGCTCAATCAAAGTCCTTACCGTCGTACTCTGCCATTCAATGCAAGAAAGCGAGAATAGAGACAGGATGTGGGGTCTCTCACTAAAGAAGAGAAGAGTTAAGATGCTGCCAATGGTTATGATATGAATCTGAGATACAGAGGGGACTACTTTACTTGCATTAAGGCCAAACAAAGCCCTAAACCTTTTTAATTAGCTAAAATGTCTTGACCAATCTATAGATCATCATACATATATTTTGAAGGATTTGACATGCCCTACTTTAATTTCATTTATTTATTTTTTGTCACCATTTTTCTCAATAAGTCGATTCCAATGCAACCAAAAAGAGACATGAAAGGGAAAAAAATACAAAATTAAGGCTGCAATTGCCGCAAAGCAAATACAAGTTTTTTATTCATTGATGCATAAAAAACTGAATCTCCTCATGTGAAATTTGATCTTGATGGATTTCCTTTATACTGATTATCTCATTTTTCAGCGTTTGAGAGAAATACTGTTAATTAGTAGGTGCAATGCATAGAATGCCAAAAGAAGTCCTTCCTTGATCAATTTGCAATGATCCGGGTCATAACACGTGCGTCAAAACCTCAAAAGAAGTAAGGCCTAATTCTAAAAAAAGCGTCAACTTTAGATCGAGAGACAATTCTGGCCCGAACTTTTTTTTATCCCATAAAAAAGCACCAACTTTAAGTCGAGGGACAATTCTGGCCTAAACCTTTTTTTGTCCTGTAAAAATGCATCAACTTTAGTTCGAGGGACAATTCTGGCCTCAATTTTTTTTGTCTCATAAAAAATCACTAACTTTCACCCTGATCCCAAATCTGACCTCTCGTCGACTTTCTGTCTGAAATCACCCTTGTTTTATGGCTCATGTCGATAAGCGATGGTCAGCTTCAGATTACGTTTAGCCAGAGAGATTCAATCTGAAGATATTTTTGACTTGGTGGTGAAGTGAAGGTGACGAGCAGTTTAACCGTTATTCTTCAAGCTGTGGCTTAGAGAATAAGACAATGAACATTGCTTTAAATCCAGCCAGCAAGTCACGCGGATTTATTGCTAAGGTGAAATAGTCAAGTTAGATAATCAATGATTCTAAGTCAATGGGGGTTAGATTTGAGATTTAAGTGAAAGTTGATGCTTTTTTACGGGACAAAAAAAAGTTGGGGCAAGAATTGTCACTTGACTTGAAATTGGTGCTTTTTTAAGGGACAAAAAAAAGTTCAGGCCAGAATTGTCCCTTGACCTAAAGTTGGTGCTTTTTTATGAGAAAAAAAAAGTTCGGGCTAGAATTATCTCTCGATCTAAAATTGTTGCTTTTTTTTTTAATTAACCCAAGCCACTTAAGGTGGTAACCAAACCCTTAGGTTGAGCTTTCAAACCGAACCGAATATAACCCGAACCGAAAATCCAGCTCGGTTCAATTCGGTTTGGTTCGGTTTTCCTTTTTTCCCGGCTATCTCCACACCTCCACTTGCTTATCCACGCCCTCAAAACTTGGAATGGCAAAACAACCCACCGTCCCACGGTCGCCACAGTGCTTCTTGAAGCGCTCATCATCCTCCTTCATTTGCCTTCTTCAGCAACTTCTTCTCCTCTTTTGGGAAGAGGAGACAAAATTAAGTTATTGAGAGTTGAGATTGACTAATCAATTTGTTCAATGTGATTCATGTGAATTTTTCCATATCTAAAAAACATACCCATGGAGTGCGAGATCATTGAGGATGAGGAGTATTGATTAAAAAAAATTCCCTTCGTTTTTCCGGGTTTTATTATAATTTCTAGTTGTGATAATTTTTTTTTTCAATTCGTGGATCACTAGTTTAAGGTAAAAGTTCCATTTTACAGTTGGCTCGGCATTATTCGTGGTGAGTCTGTGACTTTCTTTGGATTGATCGAAAGAGTACTGAATAGACTCGTTTTATTAACGATGGAATGAACGGGATTAATCGTAGTATGGAAATTCAATCGAAACTTGTGTTCTTTGAACAGCATGGGTCTATTTGACTAAGACTCCACAGCAACTTCTCGGGCTGATTACTATTTGACTGTGGGGTCTTTGATCAATGACACTGACCGAGGTGAGTCGCATCGGATGTTCGGTTGATGTAAAAACTTGACCCTTTATAAGGGCGAGTGCTCTCTCTTCTCTTGCATTCTTACTATAGTGGGGAAGTGATCGAAAAGGACTCCCGCAGTCTGAAATGGAGCACGCGATACGCATCGGCGGGAGCGAAACAAGGGCGACGCCAAACGAAAGGCTTGATGCTATGAAGAAGAGAAACGTCTTGACTCCAGATAACCAGCAACCTTTGGGAGATGGGGATCTGAACAAAATTATGGATCCTAACCTATATATCGCCACAAAAACTGGGGATGCCGACAAATTCATTGATGCATTAGAAGTGGTTTCTGAGTCGAGGAAACTAGCTTTGTCGCTAATTTTCGACCAAGTCAACCCCTCTGGGAATTCATTGCTTCATGTAGCAGCAAGCTCAGGGAGAGATAATGTCATGGAGCTCATTCTCATTCATTTTCCTTACCTCGTGACCCGAAAAAACTCCTCGGACGATACTCCGCTCCATGTCGCCGTTCAAGATGGAAGGCTCCACGCGACAAGAAAGCTGATTAGCCGGAGAAGAGACTCCGACATTATATACTGGAAGAACAAGGATAGTAAATCTCCGTTGTATCTGGCGGTCGAAAACTGCAAGTCGTCGGACTGTAGAGATCGCAAGGGGGCGGGCTGGGAGATTCTTCAGCTTCTCTTGGAAGCTTCGGCCGGAGATGAAGCTTACGCAGTCAAGATACAGGGTATGTGGCCAGTTTTGGCCGGACTTGAGGAGGAGAAATCAGGTAACGGATACTTTTATGTGTAGTTCTAGTCCACAAATGCATAGATGTAAGTAAATTGCGCTCTTTTGGTTAAAAGCAAATAACTCTGCAGGAGCTACCAGAAACAGTTATTTAACGAGTAAGTTGCACCCAACCTAAAAAATGCTTTGGCCTATAACATCAGGTATATTGCAAGAAATCGTAGATCAGCTTCCGAAGTTACTTCACGTGCGCGATGAAAACGGGGGGACGCCACTGCACTCTGCAGCATCGATTGGAAATGTTGGGGCAGTGGAGCTCCTGCTGGGTAAATGCAGTTACCTCGCCCTTCAAACGGACAAAAACGGCTCCTACCCTATTCACATTGCCTGCGAAGGCGGCAATGTTGACATAATTCGCAAGTTAGAGGATATGTGGCCTGACCTGGCAGAGATAAAAAACAAAAAGGGTCAGAATATTCTTCATGTTGCGGCCAAGGGCGGGCACGATAATGCGGTCCAATACATACTCAAGAAATGCAAGCCCGTCATCGAGAAGCTGGTGAATTCGAAAGATGTCGATGGAAACACACCCCTCCATTTGGCATCGATGCATGACCATTGGGAAGTTTTGCTTTATCTGACAATGAACAAAGAAAGCTCTTATCCAGCGGTAGTTAAATTTTGGCTACAGGCCGTGTTTACTGTTAACTGAATCTATTATGCTCATGATTGATGACTAATTCTCTGATTTGACATTTGCAGTTAATAGGAAGTGGACATTTAATTGCCGACGTACTGCGAAGCAAAGTTCGAGACGTTCAGTCACCAAGAGAACAAAGTTCTGGAGCAAGCGAGTCATCTCGCATGGAATGGATCAAGAAAGAGATTAACACTCGATTGGTAGTGGCCACACTTGTGGCCTCCGTCACATTCACAGCTGGCATAACATTGCCCGGTGGATATAATGCTCCCGGTGATCCACACCCAGGAATGGCGACCATGCTGCACAACCGAGTGTTTGAGGTTTTCATAATTTTCAATGCATTGGCCACATACAGCTCCATCCTTTCGGTCGTAATCCTTCTCTGGGCTCACAATGCCAATCTCCGCAAAGCAGAAGAACATAATGGCTTAGCAGGGCCACTATTGTCGGGGGCTGTCAACCACATGACAGTGGCATTTTCGGCAGCCTTAATTCTAGCAGTGAGCAAACTCACTTGGCTCGCAATCTTTCTTCTGTTCTTCGCAGTCATTTACCTCTCGGAGCTCTCAAATTTTTTTCTACTGAGTTACGCGTCTAGGTATTACTTCCAAAGTCGAGCAAGAGGTCCGCGTTTGATCTGGATTTCTATTAAGATATTACTGGATAAAAAAAGGGAGACAAGGACATCACAAGTGTAATAATTTTCATAAGGCCTGTTATTCATAGTTAGCTGGATCATATATTAGGGTTTTCAACAAGAGATACTTCTCTATATACATCTACTCAATGATCCGATGTTTATCAATACTGAAGTAATTTAAAGACTGATATATTGGTCCGATGCTTATATGTTGAAATACTCAACGGATAAAATTTATTACTAATCTTCGAATTTTGGTGCTTATAATATGTACTTTTTTTTTGCCAGGTAAGTGAGTTTTATTCAAATAAACAAAGCAGACGAATCCTGCTATGAATGATAGAAAGGCTACAGAATTACTCCATGAATAAAGCAACTCTAGCTAAGAGTGTCCAGTTACTACAGAATTACTACTACTCTGAGATTGAGCTAAAGGATTATTTGTTTGGATGATGCAAACCTATACAAAACATCACCCATTTAACTATGGACATAATATCACTAATGGAAACAAGAAAATTATCATTATGAAACTTTTGATTCCTCTCATATCAGATGAGATAAATAACATCACACTATGCAATATCGCAAGCAACATTACCTACAACTTTCCACTTCCAACTAGCACGAATCCACTGCAACTCATCACTATAACTTTGCCTAATTCTTCAAATACCACAGAAACTGTGAACAAAGCTCCAAACTTTACAAGAAATAGCACATTCTGAAAACATAGATTCTAAAAAATAGCAAAAAGAACATTGTTCAATGTTGTTCATTGTCATGAAACAACGAAGGGACTATACAATAGACTTATTATTCATCACTCTAACTCAACCTAATTCATTGAATACCACAGCAACTATAAACTAAGCTCTAGACTTTACAAGAATAGCACATTCAGAAAACAAATGATCCCAAGAAAACAAATCATCAGTCATTATCATCTATCATCTCTTGGAGAAGCATTTCCACAAATATCTTCCTGTTGTCTTCTTGAAATCCAAAAAAGAGATGAATGCTTTCAGGATCATTCACAATTTTTCTGCATAAGTTAATTCAATCCATAGTATTTAGAGACATTTGAAGAAACTCCTCATTAGTTTTTCTTTTATCATTATCCAAATCTTTTAACATGTCCGATGCGGCTAGACATCCTCTCCATCCTTTTGTTAGTTTTTTTCAAGAAAGAGCCAAAAGTACCTACAATCTCAACTAATCCAGCAGCCCATTTATCATTTGTTTTAGCCATTTTTCTTCTTGAAGGATCAGAATCATTTTGTATATGAGAAGATGATATTGGCTCTAAATTTTGACTTGCACCATTAGTTGCCTCATCATCATGTTTCTCACCTTCTTCATGATCTACAGCCGCATAGGCTTTTGAAGGGCTTTCACGAAGAATTCCTTTGGCACGGTCTTTTCCAAATATCGTTGCCAGTCAATCATATTGAGGGAAGGACTTCCCTCTCAAAGAAGAGGCGAGGCGCCTGGATAGGTCTACAAAGAATTAAAAAAAAAAAGAAACAAGTAGTAAAAGAAAATGAGAAGAAATGACACAGACCTTGTAATATTTTTTCCAATCATCCTTCAAATGAATATCGACACATTGTTTTTCGTGATCCAACCCAAAACCGCCTTGACCTTTTAAGTCATATATCTAATTGTACAACTTTTTCAAGTTCTTCATCTTTGACTCTATGTGAGGATTATCCCTGATGCCAAAACTAGGGAACTTTTCTTCAAACCACTTCTCTAACATAATCATGTAACCATTCTTGAAGCTGTTTTTCAATACCATCTAAAAGCACATTTTCTTCTTTGTCCATACATGTCGGTGTATCTTTATTCCCCTTCCTAGATTTTGACTAAAATCACTACCTTCCATTCCTAAACATCTCGTTGCAATTGTAATAACAGAAAAAAAGACATAATAAAAGAAATTAATGATAAAGGATAGCGTGGTAGTGAAAATGTAATGATAGAGATAGCGCAGAACTAAAAATTTGAAATGATAAAGCCATAATTCAAACATTACTTAACGAATATATGTCTCAAAATTGACAAACCAGCACCATATTACACATGTCTAATAGCAATGGAAAAAAAAAAAACAACTTACAGCGTAAGTCTTACAACTATGGGAACAAATGATTTTTTAAATAATGTCAAATCATACACCTCCCTCATATCCTCGATTTACATTCCACTCATTAAATATTTGAATGGCCAAATTTTGCCTCCGTGTCGTCCAATGATATGATGGCTCAACAACATCAATTGTTTCCACATCTTCAATCGGGTTAGCAACTTCATTTGACTGTGCCTTATTTGAATCAATAGCCATTTCTCTTCTTATCAAGTTATGTATAAGGCAACAAGCTATGATTATTCGACCTTACTTTCTAATTATATAGAAAGATTGACTCCTAAGAATTGCCTGCTGTAACTCAAATAGACCGGAACATCTATTTGTGACATTTCTAGCTTGAGAATGCTTCATGTTGAAGTGCACCTTAGGAAAATTTGGCGTACAACCTTTTGTCCACTTGGATAGGCGATATTGACTACCTCAATAAGAAGCAAGAAAGCCGCTCCATTAGTGTATCCAGAATCTACAAGTTAATAATTACCTAATAACAAATGATAAAATTATTTATGGTCTTGGAATCGAAAAAAACTACATGATAAAGAATGCAACATAGTTATAAAGGGTTATCTTACCAACAGGAAATCTTAAGACCATTTGGTTTAACTAAAGCATCTTGAAGCACTCTAGAATCTGTTGCGGAGCCTTCTTATCTAGGTAAAAACATATATAAATCTCATGTCACATGAGCAAACTCCCACCACGTTGGCTGCTACCTCACCCTTTCTATTTCGGTACCTTGGTTTATCAACCTCCGGAACATGTACCCTAATGTATGTGCCATCTAATGCTCCTAAGCAACCCTAGAACTGGTTCGGGTGAGACAAGAAGAACACACCTTAAACCATTTCCATCTCTTTGTACATTCCTCAGGAACTAGTTCGAGTGAGACGAGAAGAATACTATGCATTCTCATCACCGCACTTAAAACTAAGTTAAAATACCCACTTATTGTCTCCCCAGACCTCATAAATTCGAACTTGATGACACAATTTTTCACATGATGGTCAAGTACATGTAGGAACATTGCCACTTGCTCTTCTATAGTTACAACTCCATCTTTTTTTAACCGACCAATTATGCGTCCCAACTTGCATAGAGTAAATGTAAGTCTATACATCCTAAGTTGTTCCACACAATTCAAGTCATTGCTGTTAATGAGGCAATCAAGGTGATCTAAATGAGCTTAGCTTATAACAAATGTGTGATCCTTCAATATTTGCTTGTGGTAGTGCCTTTCAGCAACAATGGACACCAGAATCACATACATCATACACAAAAGCAAGATCTGTAGGCTCATCTCCTCTAATAACAAAATGCTAAAAATTTCTTTTCTATCATCGTGATCCATTTCTAATGAGGAAAAAAAACAATAACATTAGGCAAGTACAAACTGACAAATTAGATAATAGCAAAATCATTCAAAATACTATATCTTTTTTAAATCAACATATTCTCATAAAATCTCATTGAATCAATCCATGATCATTGTCAGAAATACACAAACACAAAGGAAACGAACCAAAGTTGATTCCTGATTATTGATGACTCTTTTGACCTCTCTCAAGACATAGGAAGCAAACTCCCAATTCCAACTCACTCAGCAATTTAACAGACTAAACCTTATTGTATCTCAAACGACAAATGATTAATAAAAAGTTAAATCATGAGTAATGACTATGCAAAATCACCCTTAATTTTATGAGGAATGGAAGACATGGTAATTGCAAGGATAAGGAAAATCAGATGAACAAGGTAATAAGCATCGAAATCAAAGGAAAAAGGTGAATAGTATAAAAAGAAAATAAAAGAAAAAGATATAGTGTTCTCGTCAATAGAGGAGAATGGACCTTGCTGTCTTGGATGTTATATCAATTTATATCAATTGATATATCACTCAGAAGCATCCTTGTTGAAAGAGAATTTCATATATTTAGAAGTAGCAACACTAGCAAAATCGTCACGTAGCATACGTATGTCACTTGATTATACATCATAATAATCATTTTTGAACATAATGATAAGTCCTTTCCACACCTTGTTCTATAGGGTAGGACTTTTATGAAATGAGGTCCCAAGGTGTGAAATTTGAAGCCACCAAGTGAAGTTGAATCAAATAAGACAAACTATTCAACGCGAACAACATAAGTTGCAATTCACTGTGCAATTGTACTTGCTTTAATGATGAATTGACTACGACAAGAAACGTAAAAAGGCTATAGCGATATCAACAAGATAGTAACAAGAGAATACCAAATCTAGAGAGAGAGAGAGAGAGAGAGAGAGAGAGAGAGAGAGAGAGAGAGAGAGAGAGAGAGAGCATGATAAAAAAGCCCTTCGCAAATCATAAAAGTATGCCAATAGACATGCGGTACTGCTGGTAAAGAGATTTTGGGGTGGAGATGCTAGTATCACAGGTGTGGGGTTTGACTCTCGCACTTTACAAGAGGCAAAGCAAAAGTCAGAGAGAGAGAGAGAGAGAGAGTTAGAGATAAAAATAGAACAAAAAAAATCAGAAAAGTATAGTGCTTCAACTATCTCGCCGCTTTCGTAAAGCTTCGATGTGAATTGAAGAGCTACAAAGGAGAAGGCGCTTCGAATCTCGCCGCTTTCACGAATTAGAAGCTACTACGAAGGAGTGTTAAGGGAAGAAAATACTTAACAAATATTTAGGGAATATTTGTTATTCTGTTACATTTTGTATCTTATCTGTTAAGGGAAGAAAATATTTAGGGAACATTTGTTATTCTGTTACCTTGTGTATCTTATCTCTTAGAGTTCTTTATATATATTGTATTTGCAACACAATTATGTACATAAAAAAAAAGAGGAATAAAATTTTCTTCTCTAAAACCTAATTCTT